TTACCTTTGGAAAATAATCATAATAGTTTGTTTTTTTTTTTCAAACAAATATTAAAGAGTTGTGTAATCTAAAAGAAAAACCTTGGAAATTTAAAGCGACTATTGTGTAGGAGTGTAGGCTACGGTTAACCAAAAATGGTCGGCTATATAAGAAAAAAGCTAAAGTGTACACTACTGTTTGCTGGCTGTATTTGTTTATTTTAAGAGGTAATAGAAAAGTGCAAGCTGCAGATAAAATAGTTGAGATCGATTTAAGCAAATTTATTCCCTCTCACTAATTGTCGTCGTGAAAGAATCATACTGTTTAAATATTTAAATGTGAGTAGGGGCCTACTTGTAACTGTTCTAAAGATGTGTTTTATACAGAGTTTAACCTATTGTTACAATTTCTTCTTCAGTATTGGAAACCTTACATTGGAGATGTTCGTTTTCCGATATATTCAGGAAAAGAGATTGTTATCGAAGGAGTTATCGAACGTTTTGCCATCACGTTAGTTGTGTATAGACTAGTACAAAATGAATTACGTTTATTTTTATTTTAGTATGTAAAATAAAGTCACATTAAAGTGTACTTTGTACATTATTACAAGAGCGTATAAACTCTTGACAAAAAAACATTATTAAGTATAAGCGTTGTGCTTTTCAATTTTGCTAATTTAAGTTAATTATGTGTTAATGGTAAGAGATTATGGCACAAAATAAATGCAATCGCCATTATTTTGTAAGTCAAATTATCATTCGAAACTCATATAGCATAGGACATTTAAAGTGGACTACACATGTTTCACTGACTTTTAGGTATGAAGGTATGGGACGGTCAGCACTACGGCTGCCAGCTGTATTTTCCATTCCGTTTATAAGCTTTTTTATCGCAATATTTTTGTTTAATTTATACCACATTTTACGTAAACTGTTTTTTAGATTAGAGTAATAAATTCCCTAAATGAGTATTGATTAATAATATGACTCAACATAAGGTAACTTTAAACCATACTAATGCTATTCGACGAGTATCCTTTATTGACTAACGGTACTTACAAGTATCGCCTAAATTAAAAGTACGTGCATTATGTTTGTTTGTTACGAATATTACAATTTGTAATACCATTTTTAGTACTGTCTTCCGTCATTCACAGGTAGGAGGCGGAATTAATGATTTTGTGTGTGTGTGTGTCTATTCTTAATCATATAAGTAGTATATTACTGCTATTACTTTATATAATATTAATGATAATTTGATATCCCTACAGGTTCGACGTGGCACTCTGGCATGTTCAGTGGTATGAGGGGATCTACCCCTTGTGGATTTTTTTTATTACGTTTCCTACTTTAGACGGTCGTTCGACCTATCCTGATTACAATCGTTTAAAAATAGTAGATGTAAACACCCTACCTTCCAGAACTAACCAACAGTTTAAAATGGAAATACTCATTACTAGCAGTGATTTTAAGGTAATCATAATGAACTACTAATTATTTTAAAAAAAAACTTAATGGTGTTTATATAACATAATGTTAGGTCAATTAAAAATATAAAGATATATGCTGAATTTAAGTTAGTGGTAATGGGTTCAACAAAATAACTTTATAAATTTCTTCCACAACACTTTCATATAAAAACTTTATTTTTAAACTAAAAGTTGAAATATAAATATATAATATGCCCGTTGTTTGCTCTTCTGTGTAGGTTTTACCATCTAAAGCAATAATATATCTAAACCATTAGTACTTATAAGTTTCATTTGCTATGTTTTTGTATGATAGTGCTTAGTAAACATAGCTGAGGTTTTTTCTTGCATGACTATACATGTTTATCTTTCAATTGGTTGGAAGCACATGTTCAATTAAAACCTTAAATTTCAATAATATTTTTTTCCAGATTTATTTTGACGGAAAACTGTTTGGCATTTATCAAAAATGTTTGCCGATTGAGAAAATCAAATTAGTTAGAACAGACGGGCATATCGATGTGAATTGGATTCTATTCTCAGTATGTTTGAAATTCAGTATATACTGAAAAAAAATCTGATGTTTTCTGTTTATATAATTTAGGTCCCATTAAAACATAACGCTACACAATGTAATATTTTTCACATACAGTTAACAGAATTAAGATTCGAAAAAAATTTATTACGATATATATATATATATATATATATATATATATATATATATATATATATATATATATATATATATATATATATATTTATAGGTTAGGAGCATCATTTCAATATCAGCGTTTATAAGGGAGAACTGAAAAGTTAGGCGATATACTACTCATTTTGAAACAATCATAAAAGTACTATCGTTAAAGTTTCCCGCGTTTAACGTACAACACATTGTGGGGGGAGTCACTCATCATCCAACATTATAAGCAACACCCAACGTGACACACATAGCCACCCACCCCTCCCCCCTCCATCCCCGCTAGTTTGTGACGTGACAAGCTGTCGATCGTCACCTTTGATGTTGTATATCACCCGTACGGTACACGGTGGTTTCATACACCCATCTCCCTTCCACGTCATTTTGTGGAGTTGATGCTACTAACCATCAAATTAGGAAATTTTACTAGACGTTTTCCTCTGAAATTACATAATATTCGTTTTATACGTTTATCAGGTTGACCGACTAGCCTATCCAGTCTCATGATTACGTAATAGGGCAAAACAAAAAGTTTTGTCAGAACATCTGTTTCCCACATGTTAGATTGAAATAAATCGAAATTTTTACACGTATCTATGTGTAGCCAAACATGGTAGTCTTACACAATTCCGAGAACCTACTAGTCAATGAATAAAACACGAGTTTTTGTAACGAAAGTTTTTTTAATTTTTATAGGCCTACTGATGGGGCATACAAAATACATAAGCCTACTACAAACATAAATATCGGGCACGTATAAATCTCTGTTTTAGACCTATAACTTACACTATACCATGCGCAAGTTTTAAAAAAAAAACATCCTCTAATAGTTATTTTATTGAAATTGTAAAATGACCAATTTTATTTGACTAAAATCCAAATGTACAAAAGCACATGTGCGCACTTCTCTCTCTCTATCTTTCTCGTTTTTTCTCTCTCGCTCTTCCCACCCCCCCCCCCCTCTCTCTCTCTCTCTCTGTTCTATCTCTATCTCTACTTTCTTTTTGTCCGCAACATTTTTTTAGGCTATGTTATCAGTATGTTTAGCGATATATGTAGAACTTAAATATATGGAATTTCGTTGAAAATAAAGTTTTAAATGTTTGCATTAAAAGACTGTATCAGTTATATTTTCTATTAATAGACTATTCATTTGAAGTTATCTGACAATTAGCAAAATTAGTGATGTAACTAGTTGTTGGCGGGACAACGAGATAAGGTAACATACTTGGGATGCGGATTGGAGCATATATGTGTGTGTACGTGTATCTCAAAAAAAGCGTATCATGTCAACACCTGGACAACAAGGCATAGTCAAAAAGGCCTAATTCGTTACATATCTATGGGAAACCCGCCTTTACATGTACTTACGTTAGGGAAAGTAAACTCGGTTGAATCAAAAAATATATTTAAATATATAGAGTTATAGAACCTTAAAGTTAACAGATGATGAAAAAAAAAAATTAAAAAATTAAAATAAATCTAGTACAAGAAAACTTAAAAACAAGGTAATGAAAAAAGCTCTAGAGCCTCCCTTAAGTGTGGCGCCCAACACACGAGGTCGACGCGGGTCGATCAACATTATTTCTTTACTCGATCAAAAACCTATGTACGTATAACTGTTAGTGTAAAGTGTGGCAACAGCTGTCGTATGTTGGCAAATACTTCGCGGAGAAGCACTTAGCACATTCCCTTTAATCACCATACCCCCTGTGGTGTTCCCTTTTCCAATGCATTCAGTAAACTACCGTAAATCAATGGCGGGTGTCAAAAAGAAAAGCTTCAGTGGTGGATCGATACGTGCCGGGTGTCGTTAACGAGAAACAGGTGTCGTTACGTCGGGACCTATACAAAGACTTTTCTATTTTTTGTATACGGTCGTTGTGGGGGGAGAATTTAACCTGTTTTTGTACACATTCGTTGTGCAGGAGAATTTAAAAATTAATAAAAACATACAAACAACAAATAAATTAAACCAAACAAATAAACAACAAATAAACAACAATTAAACTAATTAAAATTAATTAAAATTTAAAAATAAAATTTAAAAATTTAAAAATTTAAAAATTTAAAAAAATAAAATCAAATTTAAATTAAAAAAATCAAACTAAATACGTAATTAAAGTAAAAAAGAATTAAAATCAAACTAATTAAAAACAAACAAATAATTAAAATTACGTAACTAGTCAATAAAAATTACAAAATATAAACAAAGTAATTAAAATCAAATTAATTAAAACTAAAAATTAAAATCAAATTAATTAAAATCAAACAAAAAATCAAATTACGTAACTAGTTAATAAAAATTACAAAATTAAATTAAAAACTCATTAAAAGCTCATTAAAATCTCTTTAAAATTACGTAACTAGGTTACCACTAGGTGTTGACCTACTGACCTACTGACCTACTCCACATCCGCCTCCGCCTGCGCCTGCCCCTCCACATCCACATCCACATCCACATCCCGAGTATTTTACTATACCTCATTGTACCTTCAGGCTGCGCCTACGTCTGCGGCTGGAGTATTTTACTATATCTCGTTGTCCCGCCGGCCCCTGCGCCTGAGGATAATACCTAAAAGTGACCTAATATACTAAATGCACTAATACATAAACATTCTGTTGCAGAAAATGAACCCAGTAAGTTTAAACACATTTCATATTTTAAACATACTTAAGCAGTATACTGTTAGCACGATTGATGGTACTCTAAACATAAAACGTCTTTTGACTTACATGTTAATATTTTAGTTGTTTTTTTTAAAGATACAAACATTTCTTTAAATTAATAGATACACATGTTTATCCTTAAAAAATGACAAAAATCAATATTGATTTCTTTTAAAATCACGTTTTATTTTAGGACTCCCTAGAAAAGATTGAAAGACGTGATGGTGGTGAAAAAGTTGTCATTTATGGATATCCAACTTCAAATGCCAAACAGTAAAAATATAGTTAAAATATTTAGCAATTATTCTACAACAAATTGAAAAATAATTACTTTAATCTCCACAGTTATAATTATCGAGTACATTAGCAGATTTTGTTTTCTTTTTTGTATAATTCATTTTTAAAAGGTATATATATATATACAAATTATTTCGTCCATTGTATAAATTAAATACTATCTGTGAATAAACTGCGGTATATAATTAAGAAAACCTGCAATGTGGTATTCGATAATAAACACATTAATAATCAAATTTTGCATACTATTTTATAAAGAATTATTAGAAACATTTATATTAAAATCTAAAATGTATTGAAATTAATATTATTATACGTATGTCAAATTTTATATTTCTGCTATAATATTTTACTTTATGTTCACAGGTTCCAACTTAACATTACATGCCTAAATGATGGCAAAGGAGATATTGTCACCCACCTAAACCCCAGGTTTAATCACCAGGGTGTCATTAGAAAACATGCTATTAATTATTTTCAAAACGGACGATGGGCGGATGAAATTGAATCTTCCGACTTTGATTTGGAATTCGAAAAGGAGTTCGTCATTCAGTTTTTAACAAGTCCAGGTTCTACTGTGGTAATGTTTACCATTTTGAAATTTAAAATCGTCACAATTTTTAAAAATGTGGTTTCGGTAACTGGCTATATGCTATTCTGAACTAGTTAACACATCGTGATGTGATCTTTTAAAAATAAATGCAGTTTAATTCAACGAACGTGTTTACATTTAAAGTAAATCACCCGCCGAACTGTTAAGGAGTAAACTAATATGGGCGATGACTCTCATTCTGTATAAGGCGGCCTCTAAGTAGTTGCACCATGTAGCAGTTTACAACAGCATCTATTTATTAACACCGAATGTACAACTTTTTGGATGATTACAATTTTAGTTATTAAAAATACAAAGAAGTCGCTGATCAAAGTTTTAGTTATAGTGATGAAAAACGCACGACCACCCTTGTGTCAAAAGCGCCCTTTGGAGCTCTCAGGAGCTAAAGTTTACACTACAGCAGAAGCAACATGATTGCATTTCGAGTTCTCCTATGTTACTATTGTACGTTTGTAAGTTAAATCACGTATTATCTGTGACTACCTATGCAAGACTGACATTCAACGGATACCAAGTACTGAATTTTCCCTTCGTAAACTATGGGCGCCAAACAGCATATGACTTTTATCTTATTAAAGTATAAAAAGAAAAGTCTCATCCTCGTGTAGAGTCGCCCCTAAAAAATTCTAACATTTGTTTCGAAGAAATTTTACCATTATTATTCTGATCTTTTCCCTTAAATGTTTAATAGAACATGGGTAAACTTAAATCCGACTTTTTTTGTTTATACGAAATATAGAGAAAAATTTTCATCGTGGGACGGAGTGGTCTAACGGTAGAGAGCTGGACTGCTAACCTATAAGTCTCGAATTCGAATTGACGTTAGGGAAAGTAAAGGCGGCTGGGCATAGTGCTGACCACACTATCTCTTCATATGTCGAGGTCACAGAAACAAGTGAACTTTACTTCACTTACCCTATAGACAGGCAGGTTTGAAAGGGAAACTGGAGACATTTGGCATCGTTTCCTGCTGATGCGCTGCCTATTCAATCACATTGTTTACTTACAGACACCTTCCTAGGCAAATTCCCATTAAAACTCCTAAATATTGCGATTGGATGCCGGTCCAGTTATAGTTTTCGGGGCACGAGTTTACACACACTAGCACTCAGAACATCGTATAACGAGCTGTATGAAAGCCTTGAGTGAATCTTAAAAACTTATATTGAGGTAGAATAAAATCCTACGACCGCCCTGATTTTAGAAAGTTAGAGAAGTGGTCGCGGGAGTCACACTACCACCGGGGCGAAGCTTATTGTCCTGGCGTGGTTAAATCATCGAATGTCGCTTAGGGTGCTCTTTAAATTAATTTAGGAACCAAAGTTCTTACAAAATAGCCAATGGCGCCAAGCCGGGGCACCTGTGAACACGCATGCTATGTTTTACTGAACGACTGTATTACCCAATCCTGTCCATAGTCAAGTGCACTATTTAAAATGAATGTAGGCACCATAACACCTAAAGGAAAGCCGGGGCGCCTAATCTTTCCATGCAGTTTCGATATAAACAACGATTAAAGCTTCGAATATTCTTCTAAGTATATAGACGTTATTTAAACTCATTTTTAAACACGAACTTCGGCGCCAAAAAGCCACCAAAAAAGCCCGGGTCGCTTCTGGTGACTATTTGCGCCTGTTGCTGTTTTAATGCTGAATAAAAAGCAACACATACCGCTATGACTATTGAACGGATACGAATTGCTATGACATCTGGTGCCGACCCTATGAATTTTTTTTTCGAAGAAACATTTTTAGGATTATTCTCATCAATATCTTGGTTTCAAGGCGACCATATGAAATGTGTTGCAATTATGCGTGACGGACAAACAGATCAAAAAACGTACTTTCAAACACATACACACATACACACACGCATATATATATATATATATATATATATATATATATATATATATATATATATATATATATATATATATATATATATATATATATATATACAAAAACATTTTATTATGCATAGTTATGAATGGATATAAATTCTAACTTACGTGTAAATTTAAAAATTTACAAAAATATAATGTTCTATTTAAAAAATGCTGACGGAATTTTTTTAAAAATATTTCAGATTAAAATAAATTCCAACTTCGTTAAGACGTTAAATCACAAAATGAACTGCTATGATCATCTGCAGTTTTCTGGTGACGTCAGAGTGCACAAAATCTTGATGAGTTAAAGTATAACAGATTTTTACTTTTGCAAATACAAATCTTTTTTTTTTTCTTTATGGGTATTGTTATTGGTATGATATTATTTAAAACGTGTTCGTGGAAAGGAAATAATTATTTATTTTCACTACAACACATATACAAACAATAAAAAGCACACACTTACTCACAGACAATAGCTTACAGGCTTGGGGTTTTGACTATTTTTCTCTTCATAATGTTCTTGAACTTTTACGGGTGAGAGGATCGCAGTTACAATTTTTTTGTACTGAGAAAGGTTGCGGAAACTGAATTTAACTAAGCTTAAAATTGACAAAAAATGAGAATATCTTTTGCCTAAAGATTATCATGATTGAAAAACTACATTTTTTTGCATCCAGAAAATTTTAAATCGTCAAAATACGATAGCATCTTGATTTGTTATTTTTTGCACGATTAAAATACTTTGAATTCTGATTACGTTAAAAAAAGTGTAAAGCTTTGAAAAAACCGACAAAATATGTTAACTATTTAGTACAATAACGATATTTCCCACAAAAAAAAGTAAAAATTAAGTTTATTAATTTTCCTAATTGCAATTTTACGTTAGTTCATCACTCTTAATTAATTATGGATTACTTCTATTTATTAAAAATCATTTTAAAAATGTGTGTTGCTCTTGTTTATTTACCAATGTTATCATAATTAACAATATCCAAATGTTACATCAAACATTTTAAAGCAAACAAAAAGAGAAGTATCGTTTGCGGTAAATTTACTAAATCACCAATAAAGTAGTCATACAAGTCATTCTAAGATATTTTTATTGCCAAGAAAAGCACCCAACGCATAATAGTAGTAAAGGGTAATTTACTCAATTTACGTATAAGGTTGTTGAAAAAAGTTACGTTTTTCAAAATTAAATGACGTGAATATTACTTTGACTAATAATACTAAATGAGAATACTAAAATGAGAATACAAATAGCCTACTGCACTTAGAAGTCAAAAAAATTACGTAATATCATTTCAAATGTTGTCTTATTATTAAATTAAATTGTGATTTAAATGTTAGTAAAAAATAACGCACGTAGGGTAATCAACACAAAAGTAAATTGTAGATTAACTGCTCTTTTTTGTTGCAATATGTGATTTTGACAAAATGTTACTACATGAAGAAGTCAAGACCACAAGAATATTGAAGTCCACACAATGCAAGTATGTACCTTTTTCAATAAAATAATGCGCTCGTGTGGTGTGAAAACCATACCAAATTCATTGCTATTTGATTACTCTACATTCAAAACATTTGTTACCGTGTTGAAAAAGAAATTCAATGCGAAAAAAATGAAACAAAAATATATTCTAGACAAATAGGCTTAAACTAAATTTTGAAAATCTTCCTGACGAATACCATCTCAAATATGATTTAAATATACAAATTAATAAAAATTAATAAGGATTTAAAAATTATTAATGATAGCTACCAGGCACTAAAGATAGAGAAGATTCATTCATGAAACAGACTCTGAATCATTATACAAAAATGCACTTAAAAGGACGCTATAGAGTTAGGCAAAAACATAGAAGAATAGAAGATAAAGAGAAAAGATCGATACATAAATTTCAAACGACTTTGCTTCAAATTATTTAAGCTATTTAAAATATTGATTTGATACACAAGGTGAAATTCAGCAGCGAGTTTAGCAGTTTAGTTTTTTGTGATGTTTAAAATATGTGTTTTTAATAAAATTATTTTCTCTGATCATTGAAAAACACGTAGATATATAACTTTGATTAAACAATATATTTTAATATGTTAAGATTTGTAATTTTTTTTATTTCCAGCGACGTTTTAATATAACTTATTCCACTATCAATACGCCAAAGTCATTAAAAATCTAGATTACCACACGTCAATACAAAAGCTGCCAAGGCTAAGTAAATGCTACGTCACAAGACGCGTAGAGGATTCGAAGAAGCCATGTAGTAAACAAAATCTAGTAGTTTCTTTGCAAAGTACCCAGCATTTTGACACCTAAAGTAAACATATAATCTGCGTTTCAATCATAAATGTTAGGATACCATTAGGTAAGTTAAGCCTAATATCAAAATAACAAAAAAATCAAGCGTATACAAGAAGTAACATTAATGTTTTTATTATCCTAGTTTATAGTGCCATGTCACAATAATGACCATAATATTGCTTGACTTGTGTGAACGGAACAAATGGAAAGATCAGATCTAGTGTATATGACTTAAACAACAAGACAAGCTCACATGTTAATGGCAGAGATGACCAGACCAGCACTAATTTTCAAAGAAGATCATTTGATTAGTTTATAATTTTACATTATTTACAGTTCTTATGTTGATCATTACGTTTTTATGTACATTTTAAATATGTATATATAAGCTTATATATCAAAAGAGCTGGGTGGGTAATGGTGCGTAATACCTCCTCAGTTGTAATTTCAATTTACATTTGGCAAAACGCACTAGTTTTATTGGGTGTTTTTCAAATAAAATATCAGAGTGACCAAAATCTTGATGACGTAAAAGTATAACAGTTTTACATTTGCACATAAGATACGTCTTATTTTCTGAAATGGAATTGTTTTTCATTTCAAAATATTTAAACATAATTTGTTCGGGGAAAGGAAATCATTATTTATTCTCACCACAACACATATACTAACAACGAAAAGCACACAAGCCCTCACAGATAATCAAACAAAGGCTTTGGTTTCTAATGTTTGTTTATCTTGAAAAAAAATTCGAAACTTCTGTGGGTGTAACGGATCAGATTTACTATTTTTCTCTGTATGGAAAGATTGGAGGAAACAAAATTCAACTTTGCTTAAACTTGACAAAATCAAGAGAATATCTTTTACTTAAGGGCTAGGCTCCAGAAAAATAACAACTTCTTATTAATATGTTTATGTATTTATTTGTGTATATCTAAGTTAGTGTACTTAAAGGAAAATATTTGCAAGTATCAGGGACTCTTTTGAAAATATAGTTGCCATGGCAACGGCGGCCATCTTTAAAAAAATTTTGTGGAGTACCTTAACTTATATATAAAAAAATAAATAATAAAGGCTCATTATTTAAAACGGTTTTGTTTTCCCGTTTTTTCTGTAGCCTACCCCCTTAAAGAGAGAATATATTTTACCTAAACAAATTCATGACTAAATCATGTGTAAATCGACGAAAAGCGACAAAAGAAATTAATTTTTAGCACGATAACAACGATTTCCACAATTCCCTATTTGTATTTTTAAGGTAGTTCATCAAGCTCTTAATCAATTTATGGATTACTTTTATTTATTAAAAATCATTTCAACAGATGTGTGCTGTCCTTGTTGAATTTTACCAATGTTATCATAATAAACAATAAGTAATTTCAGATTTGATTCGACTTTTACATCCAATATTTTATAGTAAACAATTAGGGAACTATTTTTTATGGTAAATTTACCAAACACAATTTAGTACATATCAATCTAAAATACTTTTATTGCCAAGAAAAACACCCAAGTCAACAGCACACGACGCCTATAAGCTGTAAAGTTTAACTACGTACAGAGTAGCTGAAACACATTAGTTTTGCAAAATTAAATAAAGGGAACGTTTTTCCACTCATAATAATACATATTGAAATTTAAAAAAAAAACAGTCTATATATATATATATATATATATATATATATATATATATATATATATATATATATATATACATATATATATAATTGTATATTATATCCCAGGAAAAGGATTCCCTTTGATAAAAGCACAGATTTATCATTAAAAGGGATATAAACAGATACAGAAATATGAACAAACAAATAAAGGTCAATCATGTCTTAGAATCTATTTTTTTAAAAAAGTTACTACTTTTACAATAACCCACAAGAGCGACATAAATGAAAAAAAAATTCCTTACACCTTTCCAACTGAACAGAAAACTTGACTAGATATAACCCTCAAATCATATCTGGCTAGCTGCAGTTTACCCACGTCTTTTCTACAATCTAAGTGTACAGACAAGCGGTGGGTGCCACCAGCTCACAAGATGTGTACCATTCGCCCAGTATGGACCTGATCCTAATGTCTCTCAACTACCCGAATATTTAAACGCTTGGGCAAACCTAAGGTCGACATGCGGTGTTGAAAAAAAATGCAATGCGACAATAAAACAATTTCAAAAATGTTCATGATCAAATAAGATTAAAACATACAAATTAAAAGTTAGAGATTGTTGATTCATGAAAAAAAGCAGAATCTTTATATAAAACTGTTCGCAGATGGACCCAAGAAGAGCTGGGAAAAAACCGTGATACAAATGGAGAAGATCAATAACTAATTATCAATACTATCAAATTATTTTAGGCTAATTACATATTGATTGAATACTCATGTGCAATAGGTTTTCAGCAGCGAGTTCAGCAGATTAGTTTTGTATGTGAAGATCAAAGAATATGTTTTTTTTCTTTCTCTGATCATTGTTAAGTTTTGTTTGTTACGTTTAAAATATATCCTTTTAATAAAAAATATGTTGTTTGTTCATTAAAGAACATTAATATATATAAATGAAAATATACAATGTGTGTAAATATTTGTCTTTATCAATGTTTAGCGACGATTTACCATAACATATTCCAATGTCAATACGCCAATGTTGTAAATCATTTAAAAAAAAACCTAGATAAATATGCTATCAATCAATACGCTCCTATAGCTAATTAGAAGTCACGTCACCGACTACATATTTGCCACGTAGTGGATTCTTTCAAGTAAGTAGACGCCACATCTACATATTAGTAAACAGCCCCGAACAGTTTCTTCTTTAAAAAATACAATATCTTGACAGTGAAAGTAAACATAATCTGCGTCTAAATCTGAAATTGTAACATACGGATAGGTAAGCTAATGTTTGAATTCCAATTCAAAATAGTTTTAAAAATTATAATCTTTATTTATTTATTTATTTTTGTAATTCAGGGCGTCGTCTCCCAGTCAGGACAATGAAACTCCAAGTTGTGTTGGTTTCATATTTGACAACTATAACTTCCTTGACGTGTGTGGATGGAAAAAATGAGAAGATCAGCTCAAGTGTAGATGACGTAAACAACAAGACAAGCCCGCATGTGGATGGCAGAGATGGCGATATTAGCGCGGATCTTCAAAGGAGATCATTTCGAGGAGTAAATATTGGATTAAATTACAATTTTACAACATTTTTGGTTTTTATTTTGTTGTACACTAGGTTAAAATGTAAAACAAAAATATTAAAAA